AGTGATCCCTTGAATGTTATAACAAATAGCTCTGATACCCTTATACCCTCTATCTATCTAAGTGATTTTGTCTACAGTTCAGCTATACTTTTACTTCTATCTCTGTAARTATGCGAACGCCAACCAACGGTCGCATGCCTACCGCCGCTCGGTATTTTAGCTGCCGCCAAACAAAACTCCGAACTTAACCGAATTGCTTTCACAACTCCGCCACCGTAAAAACCTGCTAAACATTCATCAGAAATCTAAGGTAGTGTGTGTAGATAAAGCTGAAATGCAGTTTTGTTTGTTTAGACTTCAAGCAAGTGAAGAAAGAACTCTCCTTGAGAAACAAATGAAAGAAATTGAAAAGAAACATAAAGAGATAGAAGAAAAATTGAGAAAAGAAACCAAATTATTCGATAAGGTAAGATAAAAGTGTCCTTTTACACCTAATTGAAAAAACGTGTTCGAAAAGGTCAAGACCGAAAGGGATTTTTAGTACCACTAAATTGGGATTACATTTGCATATACGGTGTACACTAAGCACTGAAGTAGAGCTAGTAAGATTAACAGCATGMTAGTCTTTTATGCTGGAGAGATGTTTGTATGAAATTAGCCAAATTGTTTGTCTTCCCAAGTACCCTTTCAGTCTTAGCTTCTATGATTTGACCTTTTTGGACCCGACAACGTTTCTTCAATYAGTTGTATATGGAATATAGATATAAAGAAGAAGATAATGGATAACTGGTCGCTTGGAGATTAGATGTTCTCGTACCGAGGATATTTCCAGCAATGAAATCCGTATATCTTTGAGCTTATTGATGCAATGTCATCATCGAATAACGCGCTCTCATTGGTCAATGGTTATTACTGCCGTTGAAATATTCTTATTTTGCCTTTTTTCAGAAACGGAAGAAATACAAGCAAGAAAAGATAGAATTACAAGACAAAATTCAATTACTCGAGAAAAAAGAAGAACAACTAATACTAGAACGAGAATCTGAGAAAAGAAAACGAGAACTGGAGGAAGAAAAGAGCAGACGTCAAATGGAAAAACTAGCAAAGAAACACAATCGATTTAGAAACGTACTCAACAGCAGTCAGCTCGGAGGAGGAGGATTGATAACTAGTTCACCAGTCCCTTTTAACATCACAACGGAACAGGTAAGAAGTAAATGTCAAGATAAACACCGCTGATGATATTTGAGGCGCAGAACCATTTTACACGCACTAGACCTCACAGCAATACTCTACACAAAGCCACGTGGTGCGCGCATGAAACCGAGGTCGTAGTCACAAATATCTTGTCAAGACACGCATGCGCCATGCAGAATAGTGGGGTTATTCATAGCGTTCTGACAGAGTGCCTTTTGCAGTCAAAATGTATAAGGGCATGTATATGAAGAACCTCGTTGAATTTGGCCATTTTCAAATTTATAATACGTTGGAAGGAGAAGAGCCTATTGTCACCTAGTCGCCAAATTTATAAGGAAATTTATTCTTCGTCACTACGAAGTGTGAACCGTGCGTAAGTCTTTTCATAGACGGGCTTTGGACAGCATGACCATCGATTCAAACTTCCCTTCTCACCCACCTGCTTGCGAGAKTCCGTGATAACTTGTTATGAGGAATGCATGTGTCGCATAGAAATGATTTTCTGGACGATGGCAGTTATAACAGCTCTCGGTTGTTTTGCTAGGATCGACAACAAAGAGATATTGCATCTGTCCGTGATCGACTGGAGGAACTGGAATCTACACAACGAGAAATGAGTGACTTGCTCCAYGAGAACATAACGTAACTATGGGCTTCCTGTGATCGTGTGACTTGTGACCGTCCCTTTTCCACAGGAAACCCATTGCTTGAAGTTCCCGTAAGGATATTCCACAGCAAGCCCGTCTATTATAGACAATGGACACCATAAATATGATACATGCAATTATTATGAATTACAATTATCGGACGTGAGAGACTGGTGAATGATAGAGTTAAGGTTATCGACGTCATTGTCATTCGTCAGTAATGACGTCATAGAGTACGTCACTGGTATTGATGCAAGGGAGATCCCGTGGATCATGAAGGGGGCTTTCCTAATCTAGTGTTTMTACATTTTTCTCTTTTTAACCTCTTCAAGTTTCAATATTTATACAATTCATCGGTTACAAAGTAACGTCTTCAATCTTGTAGCTTCAGAAGCTCATCTCTTTTCTTACGAACCTTCTTGTAGTATAATGCAAATAATGATTTTTATCATCAAATTTTTTATATGAATATTAGTGTGATATTGTAAGAATAGGTTGCAGTAAAGGAGCAGTTATTATACCGTATTTGATGCAATTATATTTCACTAATGAGTGTTTAACGCATATAGTGTGTCTTTATAGATTTTATATTTATAAATATGTATTAAAGTTAATTGATAAAAATGGTTGTAGATCTATTTCGTCCCATAGTATTTATTCTTGATCCAATTATTTATCTTTCAATCATTTGCATTTCCATGGCAGTTCTAGTTGATATTACAACACGTACAACATTACCCCCGACAGTTGGTTGTGCTTGGAGAGGCGATACTTTTCGTTGTTTGCTTGTTTTTTTAATTCATGCATTCGTTCGTCTTATACTGGTGGCGTGGAGTCTATATGACGTCATTGTCTTTGACAAACCTGATATCCCTCCTTAGAACCAATTTGCGTATGATCTGCAGATCGATTAAGTTCACATACATGACGTGGGCTTCCTGTGGTTTGGTAATTGAATGATTGACAGTCCGGTCCATATAAAAGACATTGTATGGCRCACTCGATCTCGTTAGGGACACTAGTAATAGACACTCGATGACCAATCATAGCTTTATTAGAGRAACTCGCATCACAGGAAAAACGTGCATCTTTGAAAAGACCACCTGSAAAAGATGAGAGTTATAAGCAAGAAAAAAGGTTTATTTACAGCAATAAAAACGCCAACCCTTGATCTGTTATCACTTTAATATTTGATTGACAGTTTGTTCCTCTCGACCAATGGGGAATTTACGTCCTTATTCCACTATAAATTTTGTAAAACAGTGGGGTTCTCTTGCAGGCCCTTCCTTTTTCTCCTCCCCATTCWCCGCTCGGCCCTCCCAAATCCCTTTTCAGATGGCTCTCGTGCCCCTATCAYATGAAGAAGGAAAATGTTTAGACTTTAACTTAAACTGAAAAGAATTTTTTAAGGAAGACCATTAAGATTCGAAACAGCACTATGYATTGCCTAACCCTATATGACCACTCATAGCATCACGGGTACCCTGTGCCATCGTTCAAACCTGACGTAAAAACACTGCTATCAATTTCTCACCTCTTCTTTTCTTGCACGCAAAAGTACATTTTCTAGTGCARTCACCAGTACCAATAACATTCTTCTTATAAAATACACACTGCTTGTTCACAGCTTTGCCCTTCAAACCACCCTTGTCCAATGAGGACGTATTTTGTGCCAAATAAAGACAGTTAAATGATTTATTTCGCGTCATATCTAGTATGATCTGCATTTCTTTTACACTGACACTTGTGATATCTGATGAAAGGCTTCTGCACAATTTCTCTGCATCATTCCATGTTTTCGCGATACTGAAATGTTGGTAACAGTTTTGNCCTTGGAGCCCTGCTGTTGTTTTATGCAGTGAATTTGATTTACCAATTATAACGAATGAAATTCAGAACGGTTTTTTTGGGTCGAACCATTTGGATCCAGTCCTATCTATTTCAGAACGTGATTTGGGATGAACTCTAAATTTGGTCGAACCCTAATTTGGTTTGAGTCTTAACTTTGTAGTCGAACTTTCATTTGGTCGGACACTAATTTGGTTTGGGTCTTAACTTTATAGTCGAACTTTCATTTGGTCGGACACTAATTTGGTTTGAGTCTTAACTTTATAGTCGAACTTTCATTTGGTCGGACACTAATTTGGGTCCCAAACCCATTTTCATGTTAAATTAAACGGCTCTTTTCGCTGGTTCATTGAGTAATCCATATAGTAAAGTGTAGCTCATGTCACTTGGCTTAGTTTTGCACTGACCTCTTCTATATCTGTAGGCCCTCTCTACTGTAGATGCATTGATAACGATTGACCATAAAGACACTTCATCGATCATCATGTTGGTGTACTGTGATCCATCTCGGTTCTTTCCTATGTACATTGAGCAGTTATCTCGGCCAGGCATTGAATCATTTAATGGTGAAATGGTTCTCTCGACGTCGTCGATTCTGCATTGGAAATAATCAATACGTTTAAGATGTCCTCGTGAGGACAGACCGCTGACATAACAAAATTAAAAACACATTTGACATTATTGCTAGAATCCATGTAAACGATAATCATGCACACACACACAACAATCGATTTGAAGAGAGATGTCCGCTTCTAGAGTAAGGCTACCCTTGCATTACCAACTACAGTAGTGATAGATAATCATTCTCTCCTATATCGCTATTGGAGCT